TGTGAATCATAACTGATGAGGCAAAAAGATGTAGGTCCTGCCAACACACCACCCATACTGGGCTACAAGTTACTCCGTAATCTTTTTGTGGTGCCTAGTATAAGTGTGAATGTCGAATTAAGAATCGACATCACAGTACTGGGGACACTTTCCATAAGCGCTGCATCCTCATCTTCAGCAGCAAGCGAAGAGTTCAAATTCCGATGGTACTAGTAACTGTCTGCCTGTATACCCATCTCGCCTTTCCCTTGAGTGTTTAGCATTGGTCAGATCCTCTGGTAACTCCCCGCAGTGCCATTCTTCTAGACCCCAATGATCTGTTTGTGCATTTGATGATCTGTTTGTGCATCCACATAGTTTACTCGCTGCCAAAGGGCTCTCACAATATCTAGCTTATCACTCAATAAACCGCCATCTATCTGCCTGCTCATTTTCCCCACACAAGCATAACCTGATATTGTTGAACGAGGTTTCCAGGACTTTACCAGTGTGCTTCTCATCCTTGAGATGTTAATCATACAGACTGCAATCTTGAATGGGAAAAACTGAAAATAAAAATATGTAGGAGAGTGATCATGTTATCACAAAAAGGTTTTGAGGTTTCAAAAAATGGATCAACATCATGGCACAAGGGTAGTAACCCGTAAGTTCTCCGTTCTTCTAACCCAAGTCCGAGTCCAAAGAAGCTCATCACAATGCTCAGACTCTGTAGCACCGGTAGCACACAATGAGGGACTAAACATGGGAGCACCAAAAAAAAGGAGTTTTTAGGAGCTTAAAAATGATGTTTATCACCTCTGCTAATCTCTAATTCAGGGGTTGAAAAGAAGTCTTAGTGCTCCACAGGGCACAGATTAGGAACAGATAGGTAAAAACTGTGGGACAGGTAAGAGACAAAGTGGAGCAGGTAGGGAGACGGACAGAAGCCCGCTAACAAATATAACACATTTTTAAAAAAAATCCACCAGGCTCATGCTGACACAACCAACCCTAACTGACTGACTGGCTTTCTACCCCACCAGGACATCACACAAGCGATAAACACCCGATGACACATAGTGCAACCATGTGGGTGAGGATCACCGTGGAGAGGTCCCAGAAACCGCGTTCAGCCTTGAGGCCATATTTATGGCCGGGCTATATTGCGGTCCCTGGCAAAAGCCAGAGTAGGGCTTCAAATAACGAAAAATGTCGTCCTAAAAAGGGCGAGAAGTATATATATATATATTAAGGGACATAACCTGAGTATTTATCAACGCACTGTTCTGTAGAAGCAGTCAACTTTATTTTCAAACTAACATTTTAATTAAAATGTCTTTATTCCTTCGGTGTTAACCGTAAGTAGTTGGACACGACTCGTTCAGATATGGTATAAAATCTCGAGGGTAATAAACACCTGCCTGCAACGTATTGAACAAGTATCAAGCAGTTTATGCCAAGAACCCTGCATTTGACAACCTGTAACCACAATTGCAGTTGATACCGTAAATATATCCAATCATTACGTCCTTTTTATCATGCCTCCTAAATTCGACCCAAATCAAGTATTTACAGTTTACTGCAGAGCTGTTGGAGGTGAAGTTCCAGCTACCTCATCTTTGGCCCCCAAAATCGGCCCACTGGGTTTGTCACCTAAAAAAGTTGGTGATGACATCCAGAAAGGGACAGCTGACTGGAAGGGGCTGAAGATCACAGTGAAACTGGTGGTACAGAACCGACAGGCTAAAGTAGAAGTGGTCCCCAGTGCTGCGGCAATGATCATCCGAGCTCTGAAGGAGCCTGCACGTGACCGCAAGAAGGTCAAGCATGTGAAACACAATGGAAACATCACCATTGATGACATCATCAGGATTGCCAGGCAGATGCGCTCCCGCAGTATGGCCAAAGCTCTGGTTGGAACTGTCAAGGAAGTCTTGGGCACTGCACAGTCTATTGGCTGCACCATTGACAAACTGACTCCTCATACTGTCATTGAGAAGATCAATGAAGGGGAGATTGAAATTCCAGAAGAATAAAGTTGTATTGAATAGTTGAAAAAAAAAAAAAAAAAAAAAAAAAGGACGTAATTTTTTGTTATTTGAAGCCCCACTCTGGCTTTTGCCAGGGGCCGCAATATAGGCAGGTCATCATTATGGCCAAATGTCTGAACGCGGTTTCTGGGACCTCTCCACGGTGATCCTCATCCGCATGGTGGCACTTTGTGTCATCGGGTGTTTATCGCTTGTGTGATGTCCTGGTGGGGTAAAAAATCCAATCCAATTGCAGTTGATTACGAACCAACCCCAATCTAAATTGTTTATAATTTCAATTTTTTCACTAAGGCTGTGCATATATTTTTTTATCCTGTCTGAACTTATATGGTTTTTTTCTGCGTGCACATCCGAAGATCTGTTTTGTATGCAGATACGAAATAAATGCAAATGCATATAGTAAGATCGTAAAAATCTATATTCTGAAGAACTGAATTATTTAATTTTTATGTCATTTCCTGGAAAATAAACTTTGTGGGGAATTCATTAAAAAAGTGAGTATTCATTTTCGCATATTGCTATACAACAAGAACTAAGTCCTTTCAAAACTGCAAAGTTTCATCTATAACAAAACTGTTGGATACATTAGAATGGCCTACATTCCGATTATCAAGTTACAGGCAAAAAGATTTACGCACCCGGATCTGCATAGACCAGACGCCCTTGTCATCACTTTACGAGGCACTAGAGCTTATGACAAGGCAAACTATGCTCACCTGGTACCACTACTGCTGGGTCCCGGTGAGGTACCGAAAGACTGCATACGAGATATCTATAGGTACGAGGAGCCGCTGCGATTCTACCTGAACCTAACGGATACCTGCCCCAAGCATGTCAGAGACAGTCTCCATGGGAAAGTCCTCTCGACCGAAAATGATGAGGTGAAAATTCGGGTCTCCCACCTGGGGGACGAGACGACTAAGATAACCATGAACTGGGTTCCTATAACCTTGGATGGCGACGGCGTTAAAGACCTGGTTATAGAAATGTCAGGGGACCCAAACCCTGAAGTCTATCAAATCAACAAAGCTGAGCGAAAGTGGGGGGCAAATTGTACCCCAAACAAACCAATACCGCATTATATAAAAATCGATTCACCTGCGATAGCAGGCAAACACAGTATTGTCCACATTAGCATCCCAGGCAGACGCCCTGCCTGCCAAACGTGCGGAAAAGATGATCACTGGAGTAACCAGTGTCCAGAAAAGCGCCAAAGAAGGCCAGCCTTCAAACAAGCACACCAGGCAGCACCTGCATGGGGAAGCTGGCCCCAAACAAGGGACTCAGAAAATTTCAATGGCCCGATCGGGCAGCTGCACAAATCCAAAAAAGCAGCAAAACAGTTTGACGCAGAAGGTTTTGAGATGGTCCCCATCAGAGGGAATGTCACCAAAGAAAGGCAAGGAAACTTCGGTTTCAACGTGACAACCCCTCCAACACCATCACCAACATCCAGAGCTATAAACGAGGTATTTTTCAAATACCAGGGAAACGATTTTCCCGCACTAACCGGCAGCCCGAAATCAGTGGACGAGCAGAAACAACAAAACCTCGCAAAAAAACAACTGCTCCCAAGAAAAGTCAAGACGAAAGGCCTAAAGTGGTCCCCATTAAAAGAGGCCGCAACATCCTCGAGAGAAAAGGAGAACAAACCCCCGGCAAAACATCTCCAGAAAGAGAGATGGCAGCCAAAAAAGGGAAAACCGACGTAAACGACAATGAAGAAAAGAGCATAGTCATAGTGGAAGCAACACAAGAAGTCGACAGTGCAGCAACAGCAACATCCAACAACGAAGTGGACGAGGTCACTGACACTGACAACAGCCACCTGTTGTTTTACCCAGTGCGAACTTGAACCACCATTCTTGGTGGGAGACTCGAACAACAAAAAACAGTCTCCAGTGAGCATAGCGAAAGCACTACAAGAAGTCGACAGTGCAGCAACTGCAACAAAAACATCCAACAACGATGTGGACGAGGCCACTGACATAGAAAACAGCCATTCCTTGCTTACCCAGTGCCAGGCGGAACCACCCTCCCTGGTTAAAGATTCGAAAAACAAAGAACAATTTCTAACCGACAATGAAAGTGATGAAGATTCGAACACGGCAAAAGAAGATGATGAAGAGTCGACTTCAGACGAAAGTCTGTCAGAGACTTTATCTGTGACAACCTATTCATCCCTGGAGAAACCAGTTTTCTCCAGGAAAACAGGGAAAAATTAACTAAAACGTGAACCTTCGTAAAATCCCAAAGATTTTTGAACTGTTCAAACACCTGTGTGTGTGGGAAATCCTTTCATCGAACCTTTCAAACAACGCAATTTTTTTTTTGGTTGTTGTTTCCTCATTTTCATTTTTATTTTTTTCATTTAATTTTTAAAATGTTTGTTCTCTTACTTTTTTTTCAATGGAGGGGGATTTAAGAATTATCAGTGTAAATATACGGGGTCTGAGAACAAAACAAACACACATAAAAAACATCATACACAAACATAAACCCGATTTTATACTAATACAAGAAACAAACATTCCCACAGATTGGTTAGCAAAAAAAGTTACACAGCAGTTAGGTCTGTCAAACTCTGTCTTTAATCTTGCACAACACAAAGTTGGGTCAGGAACAGCAATACTTCAAACATCAGACAGGTGGGACATCACAGATACATACAGAGACGGCAACGGAAATCTGTGCATCATAGAAGTAAAAAACAATAGCTATTCGTTCACGATAGTAAATATACACGCACCCCCACAGTACGATTACCAACCAAAATTTTACGAAAATCTAGAAGGAACATTATCACAACATTACAAAGATCAAAACGTAATACTTGCAGGGGATTTTAACTGTGTCCTAACTAATGAAGATGTCAAGGGGAGAGAAGTCCGGACACAGCAAAGACGAACTGCAAAAGACACACCATACCAACTTGACACTATACACAACATAATATCAGCGAACAAACTAAAAGACTCTTTCAGAAGCAAACATCCGACAAATACGGACACAACACACAAAAACTCAATATGGAAAAGTCAGGCTAGGTTAGATAGAATATATGTACCAAACACACACCATATTATAGAAGCCACCCACCTAGAAGAAACACTAGAATACACTGACCACAAAGGTATTCTAACACACATAAATACGGAGACCACGACACCAACAGCACAAAAGAAATCAGCACACTGGATTTTTAATAACACACTCCTCAGTGATTCAAACTATGTAGAGTATATGACAGAACACATTCTTGATTATGTCAATAACATACCTACAACCAACATAGAAACTTTTTGGGACTATTTTTAAAAATTCAGTAAGTGAAAGGACACAAAGACTCGCATACATAACACACAGAAGAAGACTGGAAAAAGAAAAAGAACTAAAAAAGGCAATAATTTTAACCAAGGAATATAATAAAGACTCACCACATATATAAAAATCCTAGAAGCCAGTTAGAAACACACCAACAATACAAATACTCAGGGGCACAAATAAGGACTAAATTACCATTAAAAAATACACCAAATATACAAGATTTAAAAATAGAAAACAATATTCAAAGAAGCAAACAAATAAATAAAATAGTAGACATGAAAGGTCAAGCACAAACAGACCCAATAAAAATAACAGAAGCCTTTAACGATTATTACGAAAACCTTTTTAAAGAGGAACCAACGGACACCAAAACACAAGAAATTTTTCTCCAGTACACCAAAAAACTATCGGAAGCAGAGACAGAAATACTAGACACAGAAATAACATTAGCAGAAATAACACAAGCAATCAACACAATGAACAAAATAAAACACCCGGACCTGATGGTCTAACAACAGAATTCTACCAGCACTTCTCTCCTATCATAGGACCTCTCCTTCTCAAAGTCTATCACAGCGCCTTCAACAGACAACAATTACCAGAAAGCTTCAACACATCATACATAACATTAATACCAAAAGACAGCACAGACAAAACCCTCTTAAAAAACTACAGGCCAATATCCTTGTTAAACACAGACTACAAAATTTTAGCAAAAATTTTAACCAGTAAATTAAAGCAGGTAATGATAAACCTCATACACCCAGACCAACAATGTAGCGTCAAAGATAGAAACATACACAATCACACACACTTTGTGAGAGACTTCATACAATATGCTAAGTACACAAACAGTGAAACATCAATGTTATCCTTAGATCAGGAAAAGGCCTTTGACAGAATATCACACACATATCTTTTTAAAATGTTAGGAAAATGTAAAGTGGGTCCGAAATTTATAAAGTGGATAACAATACTGTACCGGGACCCAGAGAGCAAGGTATTGGTAAACCACACACTCACTACGGGATTCCGGCTAAAAAGATCTGTGAGACAAGGTTGCCCACTTTCTCCGCTCTTATATGTGCTGGCTCTTGAACCTCTGTTAGAAAAAATTAGACAGGACACCGATATCAAAGGCACCAAAGTACCTAGGGCGGGAGAAAGAAAGTTAATCGCTTATGCAGATGACACTGTTTTTTTCCCCTCCAGAATAACTTCAATCACAAAGATATTAGATACATTTAAAGAATTCGGGAAGGCAAGTGGTGCTAAAATAAATATAAATAAATCATATATAATGGGCTTGGGCTCTTGGATAAATAAAGCAGATTTTCCCCCAGAACTCTTAACTACTAAAACACTTAAAATATATGGCATAAATTTCCAAAATAGTCCAGATAAAATACACAATCATACTTGGAAAATGCTAGTGGCGAAAATAAATAAAATAATTGAGATGCATAAATACAGAACAAATACAATATTTGATAGAAGTAGAATAATTAATACGTATGTAATACCAAAAAAATAATATATATAGCTACCGTAATAGAACCCCCAACAAAAATATTAAAAGAAATAAATAAAATAATAAGGCCCTTCTTATTTGGCAGTACAATATATGCTATCCAACAAAAAAAACATTGTGTCAGAGT